GTTTGAATTCTCCCAGTCTCATTTCTTCTTCCTCTTCCTCCACCCTCTTTTCCTCTCCCTTCTTTGTTCTTTCCTTCATCCCTCCCTGTCCTCTTCAAAATGAGAGAATCAAACTACTTATTCTCTCAAGTCCCTTTCAACTCTAAAATGTGATCCACCCCAGTAAAGTTCTTATCAATAAAATTAAGTGGTACTAGCTAGCAAAATTGCTCACCTTTTTAGAATGACTCTTAAGATAGTATCAAAGCAAAGAGTCAAGTAATGAAAATATATCCCGAGTAATATACATGTTGGATAAGCATCCTTGAGTTCTGTTGGAACTGATTGCATAGGTTTTGAATAATTATACTGAACGATGAAGAGTTTTTTATGTAAATATCTTATATATACTGTAGAGTTGATGCAAATATTATAATTATTCCCCCGTGAACTTCACAGACCACCAAATGACATAGCTGAATATCAAACTTTATACATTGGAAAGGTTTCAGCAATTGTTTTAAAATTCAGAAACTTTGGCTCTTCTGTCAAGAGCAGGCCATTGCTCAATAGTTCGGTTACATTTTTTCAGCTATGTCTATGTTTGGAGCGCCGTGGTCTGGGGAGTCAGGTACTCGGCTTAGTTGGCAGTTACACTGTCTAATACATACAAATGTGGGTTGTCTCCTCTCCGAGAGGAGCAGCGTGAGTTGGAGCCTTTGGGGCCTGAACAGTGCACTTTGTAATAGAGCGTTGTGTCTTCTGAGTGGCAGAATCTTCTTTTATTTTTCTCCCTCAAGGGAAAACCTCTTTAAAGCAGCAAAATGAAGTTTGACAGTTATAGTTTATGTCAAGTTGAGAGAGTTGTTTCTTGGGACATGAGTGACTTTATTTAGATAGCCTCAGAATACATAGAAGCATCTGGTGACATACATGTTTACCCCTGTTTATCCCCATGGAGAAGGATGTGGTCTGTGTCTGTCTCTCAAGCAAGAAGGTATTTATTGTGACGTTCCTGTTTTAATTCCAAGTCAGAATTTACTTATTCTCTTCTTAAGCTAGCAATATGCAGTTTTATGGTGGGAAAGGATATAATAGGGAACTTTACAGTTTTTTTTGCCCACAGATAGTTGAATCTTTCATTGGATTCAGCTTTCCTTATTTTTTTAAAGAACCTCCGATAATCTGTTTTCTCCTGCTTTTGAAAAGGTTTAAAGTTGTTTTTTTAAATTGTTTTTTACAGCACAAATTAGTTTTTCATTCAAGCATTTTATACGTAAATTGTTTTGTGACATTGGTTGCAGTCCCTGCAGTGTGTCAGCACTATCCCCCTTTCACTTTTCACCCATGTCCATTTGGCCAGTTTTCCTGTCTTTTCCTGCCTTCTCATCTTTGCTTTTGGGCAGGTGTTGCCGTTTGGTCTTGTATACTCAATTGAACTGAGAGGCACATTTCTCACGTGTGTTATTGTTTGTTTTATAGGCCTGTTTAATCTTTGGCTAAAAGGTGGACTTTAGGAGTGGCTTCAATTCTGAGTCAGGGTGTCCAGGGGCCATAGTCTCGGGGGTTCCTCCAGTCTTTTGTCAGACCAGTAAGTCTGGTCTTTTTTTGTGTGTGAATTTGAATTTTCTTCTATGTTTTTCTCCAGCTCTATCTGGGACTCTGTTGTGATCCCTGTCAGAGTAGCTGGTGGTGGTAGCCAGGTACCATCTAGTTCTTCTGGGCTCAGGCTGGTGAAGGCTGTGGTTCATGTGGTCCATTAGTCCTCTGGACTAAAATTTTCCATGTGTCTTTGCTTTTTTTCATTCTCCTCTGCTCCAAACGTGATGGGACCAGTGGATATCTTAGGTGGCCGCTCGCAAGCTTTTAGGATACTAGATGCTACTCACCAAAGTAGGATGTAGAACATTTTCTTTATGAACTATATTATGCCAGTAGACCTAGACCATGGTCCCTAGCCCTCAGCCCCAGTAACTCAGTCCCTCAGGGTGTTTGGATATGTCTAGAAAGCTTCTATTACTTGCCTTGGTCAAGCTTGCTGACTTATCCTATATTGTGTGTTGTCTTTCCCTTCACCACAGTTAACGCTTGTCTACTCTCTATTTAGTGACTTCCCCTTCTCATCCCTCCTCTCCCTCATAACCATCAAAGATTGTTTTTTTCTGTGTGTAAACCTTTTCTTGGGTTTTTATAATAGTGGTCTCATACAATATTTGTCCTTTTGTGATTGATTTATTTCACTCAGCATAGTGCCCTCTAGATTCATCCATGTTGTGAGATGTTTCACAGATTCATCATTGTTCTTTATCGTTTTGTGGTGTTCCATTGTGTATATGTACCGTAATTTGTTTACCCATTCACTTGTTGATGGACGCTTAGGTTGTTTCCATCTTTCTATTGTGAATAGTGCTTCAGTGAACATGGGTGTGCATATGTCTGTTTGTGTGATGGCTCTTATCTGTCTAGGATATATTCCTCAGGAGTGTGATTGCTAGATTGTATGGTATTTCTATTTCTAGCTTTTTAAGGAGATGCTATATCATTTTTCAGAGTGGTTATACTATTTTACAGCCACCAGCAGTGCATAAGAGTTCAAATCTCCCTGCAACCTCTCCAACATTTGTTATTTTTTGTTTTTTGTTTTTTATTAGCGCCAGTAATGTCAGGGTGAAATGGTATCTCATTGTAGTTTTGATTTGCATTTCTCTAAGGGCTAGTGATTGCGAGCATTTCCTCTCATGTCTGCCAGCCGCCTGAATTTCTTCTTTGGTGAAGTGTCTGTTCATATCTTTTGCCCATTTTTTAACGGGGTTATTTGTCTTTTTTGTTGTTGAGGTGTAAAGTTGCTTTGAATAAACAGCTAATTTAGTTGAAATTTTTGTAGCTCCAACTTTCTATAATAAAGCCATTCCTGTTGCCACTGAGTGAATTCTGACTCTTAGCCACCCAACAGGACAGAGTAGAATTGCCTCATAGGGTTTCCAAGGCTGTAAATCTTTCCGGAAGCAGACTTGCCACATCTTTCTCCCACAGAGCGGCCACTGGGTTCGAACTGTCCACCTTTCGGTTAGCAGCCAAGTGCTTAACCACTGTGCCACCAGGGCTCCTTTTCTATGATAAATATACACCATAAGTATTAAAAGTTTTCAGTTGTTATCTTCTTTCACAAATAACCAAAATACCTTAGACTCCTTGATCCACATTCCCACAGGAAAAAAAGGTGGGAAGAAAGCAAGGAACAATATGTTAACTTAAGGTTCCATCACAAAGGGATTTTGTAGAATAAGTTGCGGTATATGCCAACTATCACCCAATGGAGATTAGAGAGAGAATGCCCTCTCACGTAGAAATCATGGCATTATCTCCAAGATATATTGTATTTGAAGAAAACAAGCCATAAAACAATGTACATCAGGATCCCAGTCATGCTTTTAAGGAAGGTAGTGAACATGCACACACACGTGTTAACATATGGAAAGGACCAGCCCGTTTGTGGAAGTCATCACTGTTTAACAGTGGTTCTGGAAAGGGCCTAGGGAGGGTTGGTGATGGTGAAAGCAAATTTCATGTTACTTTTGTGTTTCAACTGGGGTCTTGTCAATATGAATTTTTTTTTCCTTCTTTCTATCTAAAGCAAGAATTGAGAGTAGATCTCCAAATAAGGAAAGCTGTGGGTGAGCCAGAAATGACCACACTGAGCAACTAGTGAGAGGCCATTTTCATGCCTGTTTTTCTTTCTCTGCCTGGGCTGACCTCAGGGCCCACTGGAGTAGAATCTGCGGAACCCTAGGGAAAGTGTGGGATCTTTTTTTCTTTTGTTTTTCGTTTTGTTGTGTTTGTTTCATTTTGTTGTGTATGGAGGAGTTAGAAAGGTGTGTATTATTAAGAGTGTGCTCATGTGTGCTTTTGAAATCTCTGCCAACTTTTTACTCTTGTGTTCTCCAGTTTTAAAATATGTAGGTAAGATAGAACACAACAACTTGGATGAATCTTAAAAACATAATAAAAGGTACCAGACCTAAGGAGGTATATAGTACATGTACTCATATATACTTTTTTATATAAAATTCAAAAACAGGCAGAATTAATCTGTGGTGGTGGAAGTCTGGAGGAGGGATAGTTACTGGAAGGAGGCACTGGTGGAGCTCTTGCAGTGCTGGTATGTTCTGTTTCTGGATCTGGTGTTGTTTATATGGGTGTTTACCTTGTGGAAATTCATTGAGCTGTATACCTAAGAATTGGATATTTGTCCATATATGTGTCAATAAAGTTCAAAAGTGGGGGAAAAAAACGAAATCTCCCCTCAAGAGAGATGGACAGATAGAAAATAGCTTTATTTTCTTTTTTGATTCACTACCACTTCTGCCTCTCTGCCCCAAATCAGATCATAAACCTTGCAAAGTCTGGGACCACCACTGTTATCTCGGGCCTGGTTCAATAATAGGTATTGAGAATTTGTTGAATGATTGACTGTCCTGGGTATTAAATTCTGTCTATCTCCTATGAGTGGTTTAGAGATACATGTCCTTCAATTCTGAAAATGTTTTTAAAATATTTGGGTTTTTTAGAGAGTAAAATGATGGGGCATGTATTTCTAATGTCTTTTCCATTAGGAGGACTAGCCAGGACAGGGACTACCTACTCATTTCTCTCTCTTGCTGTTTGGGTATTCCCAGGTTGTTAACTAACCTCAAGGCTATTAGCTTAATCAAGAGTTTGATAATTTTTTTTAAACTTTCTGTTTTTCTTTGCTAGATAGCAAACATGTTCCTTTGGAAACCAGTCTGCCTTTTTTCCCCTGTGTGTACTTAAAAGATGCGTGTGTGTGTTTTATTTGTGTGTTATGTGTATTTTAAAGCTTCACAATGAATTCAGGTTCAGGATAGCCACTTATTTAGTGGCTTTATTCAGAGGTTTTAGAGGCAACAATACTGAGTGGGTGAGGAGGGTGTTGCTTTGCTAAAAGATTTATTATGTAGCTTGATTTCTCTTTTCACCTCCTTCTCCTTATCAACTTTCAGAGCGTTAGACAAACTGAATGGATTCCAGTTAGAGAACTTCACGTTGAAAGTGGCCTACATCCCCGATGAAATGGCTGCTCAGCAGAATGCCTCCCAGCAGCCCCGAGGTCGCCGTGGGTTTGGGCAGAGGGGCTCATCAAGGCAGGGGTCTCCAGGATCAGTGTCCAAGCAGAAAACGTGTGACTTGCCTCTACGACTGCTGGTTCCCACCCAATTTGTGGGAGCCATTATAGGAAAAGAAGGTGCCACCATTCGGAACATCACCAAACAGACCCAGTCTAAGTGAGTATGCCCGAGTGTGTGATGGGTTTTCGTGCTTTCTCCTTTGCATCTTAATAACAGGGTATGTTTTTCTGGTACTTGGTGTCCTTCTGAATGTGGTTATGATCCTTTCTTGTTCAATACTTGGGAATCTGGAAAAACCTTGTGATTTGATATCTTAGTGTTCATTTTATATAAATCTGGGGCTAAACCTTAAGCTCAAAGAGAACCTCAAATTTTTACACATGAATGGAGAACAAATACTACTTAATCCACTTCTTATGGGGGAGCCCCTCATGAACAGAGGGCAGATTCTAGGTTTTTCTCTGTCCCTGTCCCCCTGACCCCCTTGATACCTGCCTTAAGCACTTTAGAAGTAATTTTCTAGGTCCAGTCCATTTTGTTAGTGGCCTTAATATACAGATTATTTTTCAGACTTGCTTTACTTCAGTAAAGAGTTGTTCATTTTATGGTTCAAATTTATCCTGTGATTAAGCTGTGTAGTTAGAATGGCTTTTTCTTTAGGATGTTGGACCATTTTGATTGGCAGGTTTTAAGGGATTAGAAAATTCTTGGTCAAACATTAGAAATAACTTGAGGAGTAGAAAGCAGGAATTAAATTGTTTTTATTTACTCTGGTAGCCCCAGTGCTAAGTGCATTGCCCAATATGTGTAGAAGGTATTTGTCAAATGAGTGAAATTACCCTATGTGAATTATGTTTAATGTCCTTTCAATATATCTATTGAATATTAAATATATTTTTAATTTAGAAACTCCAATGCATTACATATTAGTTATTATATATTAGTTGTTTTGGTTTTATAAATCATCCTGTTGTGCAGTACTTGGATGTTTTAACCCAAAAAAGCTTGGTGATGAACTGTCTCTCCACTCCTAATTCTGTAAGGTGCTACCAGGCACATCTCTGGGACTGTTGCTGGCATATTTTCTGAAGACCCCGTGAGTGTACTAGGGAGAAGAGGTTGTGTACATATAATCAATGTCAATTGGTATAAAAGAGTTGAGACATGGCCTTCGGCCAGCTACAGAGATGACTGAATTATTTTTCTTTTAAAATTCAGTAAGCTTCACTTTATGTGTAGTCTGAGAAATTAAGCATAGTCTTTTTCTGAAAGTGGAACTACAGTGCTGTGTACTGTAGCTTATAGATTTGTTCCAGCAGATTAAGAGGATATCCATACTCATCATAGGAACTATGCCTCTGTTGAACTAGAACCAAAAACAACTATCTTGTGGTTGCATGCCCACCCCACCTGCAGAACAACTTCCAATTCTGCCTTTTCCTGCTTTGAAGCAGGAGATGGTCGGTGCTGGTTACCTGTGTACAAAATCACTGGCCCCGACCTCATAACGCAGGGGGTGGGGAAGACAATTAAACCATAGCTTAAATCAGCGTGCCTGATTTTAATCTTGAAATTTAAGTGCTTTTTTGCTTCCCTTGATCCACCTTTACCTGCAGAAACTTTTAAAATGGTTTCCCTTCCTTCTCGCATGGCAGATTAGAGTTGTTCCTTTTAGCTCTACTCATTTCCTTGTCAGATGAAAGAGCTGCTGTGCTTTAAGTTGTACTGTTTGTTTTATTTAAGGCAGGAAGATGGGGGATGGAGAAGGAAGGGAAATGATTTTTGTTATATCCGACGATTCATTTGCAGAGCTCTGCCAGTGGCTCTAATTAACTCTTGCCATCAAAACTAGTCATTATTAGATCCTCCATTTCTAGAATGACCTCAGTGGGCTGCCTAATCTGCAAAGCAACATTCCCTTCTTCCACAGGATCAGAGTTTATAGTAGTCCTTAACAGAATGGAAGGGTGAAAATAAACTGGAAGAAGGGAGATAAACATGTTACAGAAGACAGGCATTACTTAACAGTGATTTAGGATTGAAACAGTGGCTGGGAAGATGGTTCTTAAGATTGGGACTGTTATACCAGGCACTGTTTTTTATTCTAAGCAGCCCTTGTTTCATTTCTACATTACCTTAAGTTTTAGTTGTAGATTTTACTTCTGAGGTAAATCTTCAGTATTCAACCAAACATTCAGGAACATGTAATAGAAACCTTGGTTTCATTGGCATGAAGAAGTGGTCTGTAAGTTGTGTAGCTCTTTATCTTCTAGTGTTTCAGTGGCCAGAAGGACTCATAAGTACTTAATTTTTTTCTAAAACATGACTTTTTTTGGGTAGTTATTTTCTTTCTTGTACTTCCTAAACAACAAACTTTTTGTTTTTCTTTCTTACTCAGAAATTTATTTTTTAATCAATACCTGAATACATTGCAAAAGATTCAAACAATAAAAAAACAATGGAGTCTCCTTCCTCATGACCCCTCACGCTTGTCCATTCCCCTACTGACTGTGATTTCCATGTGTGTGCTGTAGTAAACAATGTTGCAGTGAACATCTTCATACAAGCCTCCAGCCACATACCTGTTTCTCTAGAGTCAACACAGAGAAGTGGGATTGCTGGGTCAAAGTACATATGTATTTTTAATTTTAATAAATAACTGCCAAATTGCTCTCAAAATAGCCGTACTGATTTGTTCTCCCAAAATTGAAATAGCCATTTTCTCACACCTGCTAACACTTGAGACCATCAAGCATTTTCATGTTTGCAAGCCTAATAGGTGGAAAGTCTTATCTAATGGTTGTTTTAGTTTGGATTTCTCAGAATATTGGTGATGTTTACTTTGGCTGCTGTGTTTCCTTTACTGTGAATAACCTGTTATACCCTCTGCACTTTATGTTGTTTGTCTTTTAAAGTGTTTTTAGAACTTCTTCTTATATTCTGGTATTAAACCCTTATATGTATTGCAAACATTTTTCTCTGTTTTTTTGAAATGTCTTAACTTTGCTTATGATGTCTTTTATCAGAGAAGCTTTTTTTTAAAAAAAAAAAATTTTTATGTACTCAAAGCTTTCAGTCTTTTCCATAATAACTTCTGTGGGTTTTGTTTTCACATTAATGTTAAATGCATATCATAGTTTTGCTGTTTATATTTAATTCTTAATAAATTCAAAAAAATTAATTATATGAGAGAGGGATCTAATTATTTCCAAAGGGATATCCAAGTATCACAAAATCCTTTATTACATATACCAAAATTCCCCACATATTTAAAAGGCTATTTTTATCATATGATAAATTCTTCTACTTACATGGTTTTGGGACTCTCAATGGTGTTTCCACTCATCTTTTTTTTCTGTCCCCATACTGATACCTCACTGTTAACCACTATAGCTTTATAGCCTGTTTTGATATCTGGGAAGAAGGTACCTCTTCATTGTTCTTCTTTTTCAAAATCTCCTTGGCTCTTGTTGGGCATTTTTCTCTTCCACGTGGGTTTTAGAATCTCCAGTTGATCCTTTTATGGATGCAGTACTCTCCTACATCCTCCAAGTGTATTGCTTGTGGATATGCTAAGTGTTCTGTTTCTTCCAGTGTCCTTCCATCTGTTGAGTCCAGTGTCTGTCTTTCAAGGTGCCAATTTGCTCATCTGTATATTTGAGAATCATCTCATCTGTATATTTGAGAATCATCTCATCTGTATTGAGAATCATCTCATCTGTATATTTGAGAATCATTTCATCTGTATATTTGAGAATCATCTC